TGTTGACTATACTCTGTGCTGTTTAAATACCTTTATGTAATTATGTAACAAATTAATTAGATAGTTGTCCCTCTCGCTGTTAAATGTAAATATTTCTAAAATTACGTTTTTGTGTTGGTAAGCAATAGTTTCATTTTTTTTTTCAATATGTTAAATATGTCATAGTTGTGTTTCTTCATCTGTAACAAGGGAAGTGTTAAATCTACAACGTTTTGTCACTAGTCTTAGGAAAACTTAGTTTTTTACTTTCTGACTTTCTGTGTTTCTTACTCTCAAACTTTCCGTTAAAACTTTGTCAATTTTCTAAGATGTTCCTATCCAAGGCACAGTATATTGCTTAAAAAGAATTCTTTTTAAGCAATATACTGTGTCCAATGCCTAGATGTTCAGGGGACTTTAACATGGCCTTCATAATGATGCCGACAATTTTATTTTTATGATGAAACTAGTCACAGTTCTTGCACAATTTATTATATTATATTGGATGTTTCAACAAAACAATTCCCTTAGTTAAAACTTTTGATACTTTTCAGAGATGTTAGGGTCAACCATCTAGAGCTTCAGGGGATTTGAACATGACCTCATAAATCTGACACTTTTCTTTTTACAATGAAACTAGACACAGTTCTGGTACAATGTATTAGATTGAATGATTCAATAAACTAATCCCCTATTAGCGTCAACATACTAAAATGTTTATTGAAATATTGATATTATAGGTCAAGAACCTCACATCTATTAAGTCACTACAATAACTGTTGCCTATATTTAGGGTTTAATACATACATTTAAGGCTGTTTTATATACATCTGAATAATTAAATTTAATGTCCAGAACTTCCTAACTTAGTTAATTTTCATATCTCTCTATGGGCACTAAAGTCTTACGAATTATTTCACATAAAATTTCATTCAATAAATTACGGAGTAAGCAATTCATTCAATAGAGCAATAAAATTACAAAAAAGTATCATTAAGTTATGAGTAAGTTAATAGTGACCTCAATTTGTTCTAGTACTTACATATTTAATTGTGTTATATAGTTCAGATATAATATTGTAATGTAACGATACCATCAATCTAACATCAAAATGGATTGTAAAACACTTTATGCCTAAACATTGTTTACAACATTTTATTTTTTAAATTTTAGTATTTTTCTCTACAAACTTTAACTGTGAAAGTGTGTAATAGATGGTTTTTATGTTTTGAGTCAATGTAATTACTGATTTACGAGAAATACAAGACCTGTGAACTATTTTTAGGGTTTTGAGAAAATAAAATCTGCAAAAACATGGGCGTCATGATACAGTTGCAAATAAATCATATTAGAAGAGTATAAAATAGTGGTTTGTAATAGCTGCCTCATAACCTACCTAGGGTTGAATGCATCAGCATGCACAGAGTTGAATTCACCAGAACTAAAAACAGTCGTCATTAAAAAACGAGCCATTTTTTTCTGTAGGTTATACAGATAAACGTTTAAAAGCTCCCCCTCTCCTTTACAAGTTGGAGAGCTGAAGTTAAAATTTGAGGTTATAAAAAAGCAACTGAAATGAGTCCGATAATTATTAATTATACAGATGAGTCAAATCAAGTAGATTTGACTAACATAATTGATAAAGACAAAACGGTGTGAAGAACGTCTTTAAGCTGATGAATGTGGCCCAAGAAAAGCTAGGTAAAGTTGAAAAAGTCATTAGGATTGGTACAAAAAACACAGGTTTCTGCCGACCATTAAAGATATTCTGCACAGATCAGACTTTCGTAAATGCTATGTTAAAAGTTAAGAAAAAACGTCGCGTGGAACTTGAGGAGTGCCGACAGTGGTGAACACTTCTTATAACAGCTTACTATTATATGAGGCTTAATAAAATGTTATGTATGTTTATTTAATACCATACCATATAATTTAACACATATAGTTTAACACCACATAATTAAGTTCTTTAACATTTTAAAAAATCATAATATTTTCTTTATAAATTTTGCTGAATAATTTTAGTAATTTTCAAAAAAGGGGCAAACATTTTTTATTCATATACCAGCACTAAGTTTTACATAGTTTGTGACTTTAATCTATCAGGGATGCTGTGGTCAAATGCTAATAATGTCCAGGTAGCTTTTTCAACAAATTCACCAGCCATGTTACTTGCTCAAATGTATCGGCTTTTAATATGTACCAAATTATTGATATGCCAAATATCAGAATTATGTGCCTGGATCTACTGTTTCTAAACTTCTACCAAGTTCTAAAATAAAAATAGCCATTATGATTGCCAACCTCCGTAGGGAGACGGCACTCTAAGAAGAAGATCTACTGTTTGTCAATGATAACTCGGTGAAATGTTGTAAGTCTTCAGATAGACCTTTTTGTGACTCTGTTCATCATAATTGTTATACATGCGATTTTTTTGTGGGTAATGTAATATGAGAATCGTTCAAAGTTGGGGAATTTTAATTTGATTTTCATTTGAAAAATGAGAACTTTAAGTTAAACGAATATTTATTTTCAGTAAATTGGGACTCAGTAATGTTTCTGAATTCTATATCTTGTAATTCAATGGTGTGTGTCATAATGTTTTGTGTCATTTAAATCATGCTTTTCTCCATATTTCCCTAGCAAACTAAGAAAATCATCACCCAAAAGTATCACTTAAAAAAAGTAAGCATAAAATTACACTCTCAGACTCAGAGATAGCCAAATATCTCTGGACTTAATTTAGGGATTATTAAGGATGTTAAGGAGGAAATATCTAATCTGTGACTAAAATTGTACATTTGATAACATCTATCTATAATTTTATGTCAATAAAAGATAAAACAAAAAGCTTGTGAAGTTAATATTATGCAATTAAAAACATAGGTTTAACTAGATCATAGAGATAAGGGGTATGTTTTAGATCCCACGCATTAGTCGATTTCTTTCTGTGTTATCCTGATAAAATAACACCACAATTCGCTTAAATATTTATACTAGATTTTTGTTGTCTTGAGTTTGTACTAGATTTTTGTTGCCTTTGTTTAAAGTAATTTGGAAAATATTTAATAAATGCTCAAAACATGGAGAAAAAAAGTAAGTGACATTACATTCTGTTTTAGCAAAGGGAAGTATCGTGTAACGTGCAATACTTGCAGTATATTTAATATATTATATGCATGTCTACATGATATGTATATAATTAGATTGACAAATCTATATGTTCATGAACACTAAGCAAATTGCACTGCCTTAACTCGTTCTCATAAAAAACAAATTAATATCTTCCGAACAAGAAATTAGTAATATTCTGTCAATTGTATGACAAATTCGAGAAATGCAATCATTAATCCCACATTTTAATATTTCAAAAATCAATGTGAAATGACAAAAATATCTATAAAAGATGCTGATAATCCATTAAATTTTCCCATCACATATCAAGAATTTGAAGAAGCTCTAGATAAATCAAGAAACACTTTATCAGGTCTTGATTACATACCAATCATATTATAAAAAAATTTGTACACAGGAAAATTAATTCTCTTGGTCATTTTAACAAGCCGTGGCACGGCTTGTTTCATTGGTAATCGTAGACATATTCCGGTGTATCATGCAGTATCTAAATAATTATGGAACTTGACTCGTATGATATTTTCTTTTAAAAGAGTTGTAAAACTCTTCTCTTGTGGCATGTGACAAGTTACATACTATGGTTATATGGTATCAAGCCACAATTGATTGGAATGAAAATTACTTTTTGTAATTTTTTTGACCTTTCGATTTTCACTCGAAATCTTAAAAAAAAAGATTATTTTAAAATAGTTAGCTGTTATAACCAATACTTGCTTTTCGGTTATGTTTTTCAAATTAACGGGTGACTTACTTGGTGTCGTACGGTCGGACCATCCTCCGAGGTATTCGGCGATTCTGGATGATTTCCGATCGTCGCGCTGGAGAAGGATCGAAGGTTTTTCGACTCCTCGTGTTCGTAGAGTTTATGTGATCTAGGCTTCCGCTTGGCGAGAAGTTCACAGGAGGCTCAGCTCTTAGAAAGGCGCTACCGGCAACCAGAATACTTATTCTTACATGAATTTGCCTTACATGAATATTTGTTTAGTATTCTGGGCACAGTGGATGACTTGAGTCTCACAGAGATGCCGGCACTTCACGCATCGACGTGTGGCCACGTTCACACATCTCTAGAGGTGCAGGAACGTCGACAGAGTCTTGACTCTTCACTCCGTACCGCCACCTCTCCAGAAATAATCTTGAGACCCGTAAGGACTGTTACTATTTCTATCGACACGTTTTTGGCGGCAAAGTGTCCGAGTGAGGAGAAATATTCAGCTCCACCTTATTTACTCCTGACCGTCAGTGGACTAGTGGAACGCTGTGTTAGTTCGACACGATCTGAAATAGCTTTAAGACAACGTTCTCTTCGAGCTGTTAGCCGGCTTCTGTGAGGTAATTATAAATCTGTTGCCAGACGTTTCTTTACCTCGTCAAAATGTAGGCCGTCAATCAACAAACGCCGGTTCTTGTACTTCTTGTGGTTTGAATGATGTGGTTTGTTTGAAGGTAACATTGCAAAAAACCCCACGAAACCAAACGGCGCTTTCCCTCAGACAATACGCACGTACAAAAGTACGTGAAATTCTTTCGTATACACCATATTCTACTGATATGGCTTCCAGTAACTACTAGCTGTTTGCAGACCTTAGATTAAAAACACAAGGGAAATATATTTAACCTTTGATCAAATAAAAGGCAGGTATCGAACATAGTTTTATTAATTAAACCTTGCCCAAGTACTTTCGCTTCCTAGAGCGTCTTCAGGGGCATTTCAGGGAAATATATTTGTTTCAAATGAGGAAGAATTCTGGAAACTTAGGCCAGAGTTATTCAATATCTGAGACTTATTGACTAAAGTGATATACGAAACTAACTTAAAACTATATAGCAAATAATACTGATGTTAAACTAATAAACATGTTTTTTCTTTTTAGAATTTTCAGATAATGAGACATCTTGGAAAGCACCTCAACATGGACTCGCACGACTTCCAAGAAAACTCAGAGGGAACAAATAACTTGGACGAACTTCCAGATATCAAAATAGAGTTCCCCAAGTTTATACTAGACGACAATCTCATTAAAACTGACTTCTTAAGTGACGAAGACTGTTCAAACGAAGGTCATCTAACGTTCGACCTTCATCATGACAGCGACAGCTCAGAAGAGTTAGACTCTTTGACCAAAAGTGTGAGGAAGAATCGAAGAAAAGCAGCTGCTCCCCAGAGGGCCGTCCAGATTGAAATTAGTCAGTCGGGGTCTATGGAAAATAGTTCGGAATCGTCGCAAGATAATACTGATACTTTGACCTTTACTAATATTCAGAATTTGAGTTTGAAACTGAAGGTTGAATCTTTGCTGGATTTTGGGGAGGCAGACGAATTGTGTGAAGATCTATTGCAGAATATTAACGAGGATGATATTTTTAAAGATCTACAGGATGAGGCAGGTATGTATTATCATTTTGTTCTTTATACACATACAATGTAAATAATATGTGGGACATATATTTTGATAAAAAATACAGGCTTTATTAATAAAATTTTATCTAAAGCTTAGTACTTGTGATGTTAACCCATTCACTGCTACACTATTTTTGTTATATGTTTGCCAGGAGCGGAGCCTTTTTTTTTTTAAATAAAACTATAGTTTTGATATTAAACAATAAATATTTATAGTTAATAAGTCGATACAAAATATTTGGCATTTTTTTTACACAGATGAGTGCCATCAACCCCCAGCCAAAAATGTATCATGCAGTGCGCACTGTCACTCATGTGTGACGGCTGTAACGTGATATTTTTATTAGATAAAGTTTACACATATTGTAAAATATAAAAATAAGATATACATAAAAAGACAACAATAAATTTAAAAAACAAGACTAATAGTAACAGTTCAGCAGAAACTGAATTATATTATACTCCATCTCAACTAAAATATAAACAATGAAATTAAAAACGGATGATAATATTACAACGTTCACTTACTTTTACTTTACGTAGGTGATCCGATAAGTACTTAACCTCACCGCCGGATGGCGCACTATTTCAAGAGAAATCTACTATCCTGTAATAAATTCTCGTAGACGGCTAATGTCAAAATTTGTGTTTGCTTTCACACGCCCGCGTGTGAAAGCCGGCGTGTTCGCGAATTTTAGAAAAATGGAAAAAAATATCGGTCGGTGATTCGATTCTTGTTTTTGCAAGGCAAATCAAAGAGCGCTTGGATGTTGTATACGGTGACTCTTCTCCTTCGATGGCAACCCTCAAAAATTGGGCGAAAAATTAACGAGTTTCAACTTGGGCGCATGTTAATTTTTGATGAGCCACGCCCAGGTGCCCTGAAATCGCCTACCACAGAGGATAACATGACAAAAATCCACGATCTAATATTGGCAGACGGTCGACTGAAGCTACGCGAGATAGCTGAGACAGTAGGTATCTCAAAAGACCGAGTATGTCATGCCTTGCATGAAATTTTGGGCATGAGAAAGCTGTCGGTGCGATGATTGTCGCTCACTCCAGACAAGTCTAACCGCCAGACCACTTCAGAGCTGTGTTTGACGCTATTTAAGCGTAATCCGAAGTAGTTTCTACATCGTTTCGTAACCGTTGACGAAACATGAATCCATTAGTACACACCAGGAACCAAGAAACAGTCGAAACGGCAGACGGTCGACTGAAGCTACGCGAGATAGCTGAGACAGTAGGTATCTCAAAAGACCGAGTATGTCATGCCTTGCATGAAATTTTGGGCATGAGAAAGCTGTCGGTGCGATGATTGTCGCTCACTCCAGACAAGTCTAACCGCCAGACCACTTCAGAGCTGTGTTTGACGCTATTTAAGCGTAATCCGAAGTAGTTTCTACATCGTTTCGTAACCGTTGACGAAACATGAATCCATTAGTACACACCAGGAACCAAGAAACAGTCGAAACAGTGGCGGCACTCGGCGAACGTGCTCTGAAGGAGGCGAAGACTGTCCTATCGACCGGAAAGGCGTTGGCCACCATTTTTTGGAATTGACAAGGGGTGATCTACGTCGACTACCTGGAGAATGGCAAAACGGTCACAGGGCTCTATTACGCCGAATTATTGGGCAAATACGACGCCGAATTGCAGAAAAAATGTCCCCATTTAGCGAAGACTAAATCTGGACATTGGAACTTTTTTACAACGGACCCGCTCATACCTGCGCCGTCGCCATGGCGAAATTGGTAGAATTGGGCTACAAACTGTTGCCCCATCCACCATATTCTCTAGATTTGACCCTGTGGGACCTCTTTTGTTTCCAAACTTCATCGCCGCCACGGAGGAATACTTTGCAGACCTTGAGAAAACGTATTTTTCAGACGGGTTAAAGAAGTTGGAGCATCGCTGGGTCAAGTAAATTGAGCTAAGAGTAAACTATATTGAGAAATAAATCGCCACTTTTCCCCAAAGTTTTCGTTTTTCTTTTGTAGGCTAAGTACGTATCAGACCGCCCAAGTATACCACGCTCACGAAGTCACAACTACTTCCTACCAGCGCTAACAAAAAATTGGTCAAATTAGTATGAACATATCTATGTCACTTATGAGTAAAACGCGCACTGCGTTAAGTATCGGCATGGCACGCAAAAGTGACATGAGCACTGAATGGGTTAATTAATTAGGTCACACCTTATTAATTAAGACATATAACACTAAACTGGGATTGGAGGACTGCAAATCACGAAAAAAACCCGCGCCAAGCAAGAGCAGATCCAGAGAGGGGCGATAGATCGATCTCCTAAACATAATCAAAACCCATCATCTTATAATCGTTTCCAATCGTCTGTATCACTAGTCCAAGCCTTAACTAAAATAGTCGTTCTGGTCATGGTTGTTTTTCGTGCAATTTTTGTAAGTATCAAACTGGATCAATGCATGTAATTTTTCATGCAATTTAATCAATCAGACAATTTTTGTAAGTACTAAAATATGGATTAACTGGAAATATAGCATCAGAAATATATCTTTTTATTAAGGTTGCTCTCCTCATCGGAGGTTGGAAATTAATACGGCGATTCTAATTTTATTTACCGCTGTTCTAAACAGTCTAAACAGTTTGCCTTTTATTGTTCATCCTCTGGGGAAGGTCTACATTCATTAATCCGTCGGTCCATGATATTTTTGACATGCTGCGGTACCACCACCTTTCAAAGGCTACAAACTTATCAATTTCAGTTTTCTTGAGTGTCCAAGCCTCTGTTTCGTAAAGAAGAGTTGAAAAATGTAGCATCTAAGCATTCTTATTCGGAGCCTTAGGTTGAGGCTAAACAAAGAAATTGTTTCATCTCTATAAATGCGGCAGTTGCTATTTATATTCGCACTGTTGCGAATTATTGACCATATAAATTTTGTTTTTATAAAATTTATTTTCAATCCATAGGTTTGACATGAACAGTTTAATCTTTTTACAAGTGTTTTTAAATCCTTGGGATTATCTGTTGCAACAACTGTGTCCTCCGGATATCCCATATTTTTAAAAACCTCTCCATTAATAGTTACACCCTCACTTGAAAATTCTAATGTAGAACAAGAACAAGAGGAAGAATTCTTTTTAAGGGTTAAATCTAAAAAGTGTTGATAATCTTATTTTCTAACTCTAAAGGTGTGATCTGACATCTGACAGAACGTGGAGTGGCTTTCTTCATCAGCTAAGAGAAATAGAAAATACCTAATAGAAAAAGACAAACTGTAAAAACGTTGAATAGCGTTTTTATTTACAATATTTATAGTTTACGATCCCTGGAATAGGGTAAACCTGTCTATTTATGGCCAGCGCTTCCACTCCCGTTGATTTTCGATGAAATAACATGGTTCAAAGGAATTTGTAAGCTGATGTATAATACGTACTTACCCCATCAAACCTGACATGATTAGGGACAGGTCAGGTACGATCAGTTTCGTGGTAATTTTACTATGGAGTGATCTAAAGAAGTTGTGTTGGAATTTTTATCATTCTATAACTTACCCAAGTTACTAAAATTTTTACCGGTAACACTGGTGGGCAAAATTAACCTAAACCCTGATCTGGACGACACGCTTCATTTGGGTCGTTATCAAAAAGTAAATAAATATCAATTACACATGGGGTGCCACCAACCGTGGTCTCCCTTATTTTAACTGTATATATTGTTTGTTTCTCTTTGTCGACTTGAGCCAGTGCCTTTCCACGAGCTGTCTGATGCCGGCTTAAGACATTAAGCTTAAGCCTTAAGCCGGGTCTTCGACCTCGGTAACGTCATATGCAGAAGCCAAAGAAGGAAACAGGTAGAGTCCTGATGTAGACGATAAACAAGGGTACATTACCTCCGTCGCAGAAGAAACACTAACAAATTGACCAAGTGCAGTGACGATATCTTTCTAAATGTCAGTTTAGATAAATTAACAAGAGATAATTAAACTTACCGCAGAAAATACGAGTTTCACTACAAAAACTGTATTTTAACATCGCCAGCCATGACTACTAACTAGGAACTGTCTGGAATCGAGTCGTATGAGTGTTTTATAACTTTTTTTCATGGGACAATATTGCTTAACTTCTGAGATTTTATTAAAATTGGATTTCTCACACCCAGAACTAATTTATTACATGTGAAGTACTGTATTCGTAGACGAACACAACCATAAAAATAGTTTAGTTACAGGGTTAACTAAAAAAACGGTGTGGCTTGGTACAGGTTCTCAAGGTTTCTAAAAAATTTTAAATCCAAGAAAAATTGTCATGCTACATTGTGAGCTGTTTTTTTTTTCATTTGCGGATTGCAAATCCTCTAGGGCACGGTAGGTCTTTTTAGACTCTAGAGACCCGTCTTTCTTCTTGTTTTCCGAGTTTTGTCCCGCAAGTATTTTTTTTTTGTCCCGCAAGTATTTTTTTCCTCATGTCTGTTTATATATACTTATAAAAATTTACTCAATGACGTAAATACTATTGATTTAGTAATATATTAAACCTTTTTAGACGGAGAAGCAATTGATGATGAGATGATCGTGAACGTCAAAGAAGAGTGGAGAGCACACTGGGGTGTCAAATGCAATATGTGCGAACAGGTCTTCCCGTTCAAAACAGAGTTCGATAAACATTATATTACTAATTATAATCTAATTCCGGTGTATACGTGTACATTTTGCAACAAATCTGCCGAGAAATACTCTACGTTTCGCTCACATTGTTATAGACACATAACTGAAGGTCGCTATAAGTAAGTGCAGTTTTCGTTAAAATATACCTGTGGTGATATTGAATAATCTTTTTTAGCATTCCTCTTTTAAGCCTCTAACCATTATTCTTTTCTTATAGATGCCAATACTGCCCAAAAGGATTTAGCCTGCAAAGTATGTTACATGTGCACATTTTAGCAAAGCATACCAAAGTCAAGCCACATAATTGCGAAGAATGCGGTAAGACATTTGTTACTAAACCAGGGTTAAAGATACACCTCAAGAAACACAAGACTGAAACAAAGGAGGATTATCCGTGTGTAGAATGTGGGAAAGTGTAAGTATATTAATCTTTACAATTTCTAATTAATTTGTTTTTGGGTTTTTGTGCTTATGTGTTTTTGATTTTGGTCTTGCATAATATGAGGGAATATTTTTGCAAATCTTTGGTATACGTGACATTTTACCATAGAATAAAGAAAACAGTTAAACAGTAAGACAATCTCGCTAGCCTCAATTTTAGAAAATTAATGATAACAAAACTCGCGTCGTTATCTTAGCAATAATACAAATAAGTAAAACATGCAGGTTTACACAGTATGCAATACAATTTCAATACACTATTTTCTTGCGTATCCTTTGTTTTAATCTAATATGAGTGAATAGTCAATGGAATAATCAATCAGTTTCAATACATAATCCAATAAAAAATAGAGGGTAATACAGGGTGTGGCAGAATTAAATTCAGCAGTTTTGTAATTGCTACTTGTGTCGAACCTTTTCATTTCAATGTAATTTCAGTTTATTTTAAAAAATACAATAAAAAGTGATGTTTTACAGGGTGGATCAAAATTAAATTATTCAATTTCATGTATATTTAACATATCTTCAACAATATAGAATAGATCGAAATGAAACTAAGCAATATAACGCATTTTCAGTGGTAATTAATTATGACTAATACACTTCACTTTTTAAACGGAGTTAAAATAATAGTTTATACAGAGTGGACAAACATTTTTTGCGCAAAAAATGACTTAATATGTTTCTATTCTTCAAATTTGCATTGTTTACAAGCCGACTGAATTGAAATTTTTTATATCTAATTCATTTCTAATGGAACACTATAGCAAGCAAAACGGGCTTATACTGGGTGGACTAAATTGAATTGTTTATTTTTTATGAGTTGAATTATTTGATGACGAATATGTAAATGGAAGTTTAGTTAGGTTGAAGTAAATTAAATTTTTATGAACAGTTAAATTTGTAACGACAGTTAGAAATTCACATTACTTATGACATGTGAACATTCATACCTAATTTTGAGACTACATAAATATGCATTATTTTCTTCCATCCCAAAGTAAATAATAATAAAACTTATAATGAACAGCATATTTCAAGAATTAAATTAATAGCTAATCATTATAGATTCTATGGAATCTAATCACATTCGCGACTGAACTGTATCTAAATTTCTTGATTATACCATATGGTTTTAATATTTTTAGGCTAAAAAGTCAAGGTATTATCTAATTATAACGTGTGATCCAAAATTATTGTCACCATAGGTGGCTCTGAAAGACAGAAGTAGCTATATAGTGCATGTCTATTCTTAATTCAGATATACTTTCCAGTTTACCTCACCTTTGCCGTATACCTACGTTAACTTAACAAGAAGAGTTAGGTTATGTAGAGACGTTGGTGGTGGATATATGAGCCGTTGAAATCCAGAGTGGTCTAAGTCATAAATGCTGCTATTCTAGAAACGGTAACTTAATGTTAACATATTGCCATAAATGGGAACATAGAGAATGACTGTGATTATTTTTACAATATTTTACAATAAATTTTTAAAGTTACAAATAAAATTAACAATTCATTTTGTTCATTTCGAATCAACTGTGAAAATAAACGTTAAATTCATTACTTTTGTATAATTTTTGTTATAGATAGAAGCGTACCCACAGACTAAACAATAAACTTTACTTCTTGATAAAGTACGTTTTTCTATTTATCTTTAAAAATTAATTGTACATAAATTATGATCACAACCTGGATTACCAGAATTTGCTACAACGTAAAAAGTAAACATTATTTGTTCGACTGTATCATTTTACGAATCGTAATTCAACCTTACTTATACATTTTACTATAAATACATAGTCAAGAAGTTAATTTTTCTAATTAATATCATATAGTACGAATAGCGAAATGTATGTTTTGATTTATATTATAGAATTAATATGTTCACACATCTAAATAAAATGTTATGTTAAAAAAATAAAACAAATATAAAAAATAACTACTAAATGCTCTGAAAAACTACAATGAACACACAAATAAACATGGTTTAATAAACAATGGAAAAAAATAATAACAAACCAAAAAAAATCAGAAACAAAAAACATCAAAAATAAAAAACAATGAAGAATTATACACGGATTTATTTATGAAACCACTATAGTCATAAACAAACGGTGCTAATACTTCAAGATATTAGGCGATAAACGACGCGAGAGACCAACAATCGAATATTCCAAACGTAGATTTAATTGCTTGCAATGTTGCCCGATTTGCGGAATACGTATGCTATGTAAATATATAAACCATAGATATATAAATAACTACTATAGATGGGAAACTCCCACTGCTACACAAATCCTCTGCGACACCTCGTGGTCTGGGTCAAAATTAAAATACAACGGCGGTTGATTTAAAATATATTTATATTCGTATTTTTTAAAAAATGTAAGGATTAAATGAAGAAAAACATTTGTATATAAAACTTTATTATATATAAAATGTAAAAAATTAAGGATTAAATGAAAAAACATTTGTATATAAAACTTTATTATAGATAAAATGTAAAAAATTAAGGATTAAATGAAAAAAAAAATTGGATATAAAATTTTATTATATATAATGTAAAAAAAGACTACAAAATAAGTACCTATGATTACAAAAGCAAAAAAATAAAATGGGTGATCCTAAAACAAATAAAGTAAAAAATACTATAATTATATTTTTATGAATATTAAAAAAAATATTATATTCGTTCTCCTTGAATGTTCATAGAGAAAGGACGTAAATCGATCGACTCGCTGAAATTCGCTAACGATAAGTTAAAAATCGATTTAAAAGTTAATTAGTGATAGTTAATTGGGAAAACAGTAGAAATAATAAGGAAATATGTCTTCCGAGAACAGCGTAATGGAAGAAGAAATGGAAGATACCGGACAGTGGAATAAAATAAAAAGAGAAAAGAAACGACGCCATCGAATATCGCATTTGCTAAATCCAGTGAAAAGGACTTGGGAAAGAAAGGAAAAGGACAACTGTCTCAACAACAAATTCAAGACATAATATTAGGTCAGCATTCTTCTAAAAACCCAATAAATCAATCCCAACCAAATTCACAAAAAGATGTCAACATTCAAAGCCACAAAAAAAGGTAGTTAACAACACACACCATGATTCACTACAAATGAAAAATATCATGAATCAAAACTATAAACAATTTTGTTATAACAACTCAACAATAATTATCAAGATTTCAGTTTGCTAATTTTTGGAATAGAAGCAATCCAAACTCTTCTAATGTGATAATAAAAACTAGAAATGGGTTTATTTTAAAAAGTAATTAAGATAATAACCGAAGTCATTAGTCCAGTCAAAAGTAACCAAAGAATACAAAGAAACAAATTCTAACCAAAATCAATCCACACAAAATAAATCACATGACACAACTTTTGCCTGTATCATATCATCAGTAGAATTGGATATTGAAGATACACATATTATGAAAGACCATCTCACAAATATCGAAATAAAACACAGATACTGCAAAAAATTACATCGTGAAAAACTGGGAAATTTACCTATTTATACTCATGTTCGATCTGGAAAAACCAACCAATCACTCACCAACTATGCCACAGGAAGGGCTCACAATATTTCAAGATAGTGGCTCATAACGTGAGGTTTATTTATTCAAATATCAATAGTTTTCAAACAGAGAAATACTTAATATACAACTATCTACAAGGTAATAATATCGATAGTTTTATATGTGAGGAAAGCAAAACTAAAAATTTTATTAACCCATATTGTGACGGGTGTATAATCCAACAGGAAGGAAATATATGAAACTCCAGGCATATTATTATGTTCTAAAAATATTATAAATAACATCACAAACGTACTTGTCACTTCAGATCAATAAACAACTCCCTTCTAATCTTCTTCTATTAGCTGTAATTTAATTGACTGGCAATATTGTAATTACCACCACATATACAATTTTTTTTAACTATTGTATTGTATTTAGTCTTAACATAAAATATTTAATGTATATATTAATCTTGTAAATTCGCTGAAAGACTTCAGTCAATTTTTGGTTCCATGGTATCAATAAAGTACCTATATTTCTCTCTCTATATTATTTTTAAAGGAAGGCAATTATTTATTATTTTTAATGTATTAACATACTTTTTATGACTGTAATTTTTTTTTTGTGCATAATTTTTAATTGGGTCATTACACCCAGATTTTACTTTTAATTTTCCCTGTAAAATTTTGGTGATATTTTTTGCATAAATCAGCAAATGAAATGAAATAACATAATTTAATATGTGTTTTAAAATTTGATGTTTTTCACATATAAAAGTAAATGATTTGCATTCATTATACATTATTCCGAAAAGTATTTTTTTTAAATTTTTGTAGTGGCAAACTTTTGGAACTATTTGCTGTAATATGAATATAATCTTTTCAAAAAGTTCACCATATTTACTGTTTGGGGCCATTAAACTTTTTATACTATAAGATTTTGCGTTGATAAAAAAATCTTCAGCATTACTACCATCGCCCAATAAATCTGTCATACAACATCCACAACTTTTAAATTTACGTAAAATTTTTTTTGCCACAAACCCTGCTATATATCTAAGACATCCTTTTTGTAAAATATCTATTTGGTTATTTGGTGTAAATTCACTAAATTGTATATCAGGGATCTTAATTGGTTCATTTTTTGAAATTGGTTCACAATTTATGAAATGTTTTAATGAATCCAAAGCATTTAAATTGTCATCTTTACAATTAAATCCAGGTGAGTGCACAGATGTGAAATCCATAATAATTAAAGATTTAAATGAATGAATAAATGCTGTTGCATTTGGGTTTATATACCTTGCTCCATGACTCCTAATGCGCCCAAAAAAGTTTTCAAGGGGATCTTGATTTAAAAAATTGGGACAAAAATATTTTATATTTTTTTTCTGAAATAATTCCCAAAGGTATCTCATACCTCTTAGAGTGTGAATCCAATTTAGT